TATGATTTTTTTTTTTAGTTCTGAAAAGATTTCCATCTTCAAAAAGCTTGGCATGTTGATAAAAATTGTTTCAGATTCAATCTCTGCAGATTTCTAATCCAATTCAGATTCTTTTTTTTTTTCCTTTTTTCATGCCCAGATTCAAATTTTCCTGTAGATATAATTGACAAAAAAAATATAATTAAAAAAAAAAAAACAGAAATAGAAGTTATTGAAATAAAAAAGAATATTTGTTTTGCTGAAATAAAATGTAGATTACAGTGATTACCTCAAAATGCAATGCAAATTTTGTTACCTTATATTATATATATATATATATATATATATATATATATATATAAAATCATAAAACATTTCACCAAATAGGATACGGGTTTTGATTTTTGAAAGTTGAGAGACAGCGGCTGAATCTTGCGAACGGCGAACCCGAACTGGAATAGCGGGCGATGGAAACTGAAAGATACGGGTTTTGATTTCTTGAACAATCTGAAATGATATGCCAATCTGGGTTTTGAACTTTTGATTCTTGCAGACAGATAGATAAACTGAAATATATGGGTTTTGAACTTCTGATTCTTGTAGATTTTGTAGTTTGCACTTGCAGAGAGAGAGAGAGAGAGGGCAAGTTCAAAGTCCAGAACGAGAATAGAGATGGAGGCGATTGGGGAGGCTGAAATGATTTGCCCTAAAAATATTTTTTTTTTTTGGTTATCCATCATCCATGGGCCTAAAAATTTTGAGGCCTTAGTGATAAGCGCCGAATATTGTATATTCAAGCACCCTAAATTGCATTAGTTAAGTCCATCATTTGATTATTTAAGTAGATTATCTTCATTTGTGTGTATGTATATATTTTCAGGTCCATTTGCCAAAAAAGGAGCAAAATCAAGGCTTTGTGGAGTTTTGGCCATCAAAAGGCACAATTCTGAATTTCTGGCAGCAGTGGAGTCAGGACTTTGCTCGCCATTTTGACCTTGTAAACTCGAGAACTGGACTTCCATTATAAAATGGCATATTTAGAGCTCTGAATTAGCTTTCTAAATCTTCAAACAGTTTGTCATTCGGAGCTTGGAGCAGAGAGTTATGGCCTTGTTACCAGAGGTACGCAGAATTGCTTGACAGCAATGAAATTCTGCCTTGATCTTCATTTTCGACCAACCATCCTTGAGAATTGGATCTCCACCAAAACATGAAGTTTTTAGAGCTCTGAATTAGCTTTCCAAATCTTCAAACGGTTCATCATTTGGAGTTTAGAGCGCAAAGTTATGGCCATTTTACCAAAGTAGGTCCGGGCGGAGCAAACCAAGCATAGGGCATTCTGGCCAATTTTCGAGTGCTCGAGGCCTTATTTTGAGTGCTCGAAATTAAGGCAGATTGCTTCACGAGATCAGCAGTGGAGTCAGGACTTTGCTCGCCATTTTGACCCAGAAAGCTCGAGAACTGGACTTCCATCATAACATGAAAGATTTAGAGCTCTGAATTAGCTTTCTAAATCTTCAAACAGTTTATCATTCGGAGCTCGGAGCAGATAGTTATGGCCTTGTTACCAGAGGTGCGCAGAACTGCCTGGCAGCACTGAAGTACTGCCTTTCTCCCCATTTTTGACCAACCAGACTTAAGATTTGGGTCTTCATCAAAACATGAAGTTTTTAAAGCTCTGAATCAGCTCTCTAAATCTTTAAATGGTTCGTCATTCGGAGTTCAGAGCGCAAAGTTATAGCCATTTCATCAAAGTAGGTCTGGGCGGAGCAAGTGAAGCATGGAGTTTTTTTTACACTAAATTCAAGTGCTCGAGGCCCTATTTCGAGCACTCGAAATTTGGGCAGTTTGCTCCACGAGACAGCCCACTTGTGCTCTGAAATTTCCAATTTTGGATGGCCCTCTTTATGAGGTGGTTGGGGATGTTTTTTGGAGGAGAGAGAGGGTTTTGTTGGAGGACAAAAGGCAACCAAAGGCCACACATTTCATATCCTTGAATTTTTGCAAGATAGAGGAGAGAGAAGAGAGCAAAGAGGAGGAGTTCTTGAAGCTTCAAGGAGGAAGCTCGAAAATGGAGGGGAAAGTCTTGCTTCTTCTTTCATCTAGGGCCACCATGGGTAACTAAACCTCCTCTAGGGAGGTGATGAAGCTCCATTTTGTAAGCTTTGCTTTGTTTTGATTTATATTTGGGGGTTAATATATGTATGTATTCCTTCCATGAACTAGAGCTCTTCATTTGATGTAATGAATTTCAATACCTATACATAATCATCTTGAGTTAAATATCTTGTCTTAGATGGTTTTTCTCCTATGATTATATTGCTACATTTTCATGGTGACAATGGAATGGAGTTTATGGAAGTGTTGTTAATGGCATGATATTTAAGAGATTTGATAATCTATTGCTTAGGATCTTCCTTTGATAGATTATTCTTGGATTCTATGTCATGTGCTTCTACTATGTGATTAAAGGCTTGATAACTCTATGCTTAGTGAGTATGTCTAAGGTTACAACCTAGTTTAGGTAACCAAAACATGCAATACTTTGATAGGTTATTCTTACCTATTGATTTCATAAATTTCTTGAAGGGAATGTAATAATTTGTGTTGTTGCATCCCATGGTTATACATATATGTTATTCCCCTAAGTAAATCATATCCTAGCATGCTTATTGATGGTTGTGGAGTCTCTTCCCTAGTCTCTTCTCTATTGTTCTATTTCATCCTAAATTCCTTGCAAATTAGTGTTTTATGCACTTTGAATTCCTAATTTAAGTGACAACAAACAAAACCTTTATGAACACCCCTTCATCATTCTAGAAAGATTCTAGACACTAAGGTTGCCGTAAGACTAGCGCAGTCCCAGTGGTTCGACTTACCCGACCAATAGCCCTATTTTACAATGATTCGTACTATTGCGAAGGTTGATGTATAATTGACCAACCGATCACTTAGGCAACCCTTTTGTCGCCTTAGGTCAGGACATGTCGGATCTTATTTGGCTTGGTCCTTTATTTTAGAATTGTGGCTGAGTTGACTTAGGCTTGATTGGGTGGGCTAATTTTATTAATAATTTTTTTTTTGGGTTGGGTTAAAATTAGTATGGTATAAAAAAAAAAAAAAAATTTGTGGACTCAAGCCCACCAGAGTCCACCCTTACATCCACCCTTGTATAATTATATTCTTGGGTTTTACAGTCTACACTTGGGGTTTTGGAATGGAGGCAATCACAAGTTAGGGAGAAAGGTGGTGGCGGTAAGTCGTGGAGGAAGAAGACTAGGATTTCGACATAGGTTTGATATGTAGATTTGCATTGCTATGAGATCAAGAAAAGAAGAAGAGAGAGAATTGTTTTGCTGTGGAGAGAGAAAGGAAGATAGAGGAGAGTCCCACCCGTATCTGATCCTTAAGAAGGAAAGAAGAGAAAAAAAGGAAAAAAAAAAAAGAGGAAAGAAAAAAAATTTAACCCGTAAAAAATTGGGTAATGCCTCTCTTTAATTTTATTTTTATTTTTTAGACATTTGTGTTTAATGACATTGGACCACATCATATGAAGAATGAATTTCATCCACCTAGATGGAAGACCCAAGTTTTGTCCATTCCAAAATACCAAAAATATTAGAAAACTATGAAACCCTGCTGAAGTCGTGGTTTCTGGCTTGGAAAGAGCGTTGTGAATGAGATCTAGGTTTTTTTACCCTTTCCAAAAAGTTTAAGCAAACACGATGTGCTGTTTGGCCTAAAGTGTGATCAGGTCTGCATGGCAATTGGTGCGTGTGAGGTACCTCACATGCGAGCGTGTAGATATTCAATCTAAATTTCTACTAAGCTTATTTTGAGGCTGAATTGTAAAAAGTAAAAGGGTTAAGTGCAAAAAAAAAATCCCTTAAACTATTGTCCTTTTGGAAATAATCTCCATGAATTAAAAATTGCCCTCTTGAACTATTGATTTGTTACAATTAAGGACAAATCTATCATAAAAGACTATTTTACCCTTTCTTATTAAATTTTTCATTTGTTATTAAATTATTTTTATTATCTTTTCTCTTATGTAAATATTAATTATATTATTTACCTTAATTTTATTTTTAGTATCAATTTATCTTTTAAAAAAATAAATATAGATAAATAGATTTGTAATTATTATTTTCTAAATTGATTAACTTATTATTAAAACTTTACTATAACCAATTTAAACATTTTTATATCATTTTTCATACAATATATTAATAAAAAATTAGTAAAATACTTTTGAAAAAAATACCTTCTTTTCAGGTAATATATTCATTAAAAACTAAAAAGTTAATTAATTTTATAAAAAAAATTTACTAAATTTTTTTATTTAAAAAATTAATTAAAAAAATTAATGATAAATTAATGCAAATTTAATGAAAAATATCTCATCAAATTAGTATGAATTTTTTATAATTTATTTAGATAAGAAAAATATATTAAATGTAATCCAATAATATGGAGCATTATGGTCATTTAATAAAATATAGTATAATTATTAAGATATGTTGTAATAAAATGAGATGGTTTAGAAAATTTTATGCACAAAATATAGTTCAAAGGGATTATTTATAAATTCAAACATAATTTAATAAGTTTTTTTTAAGCTTTATCCTAAAGTAAAATAATATTTTTTAGTGTTACTTTGGCACTAGGGTTGTAGACTTGTTCCTATCTGAAAGGTTATGCGGCCCTTATCAACAAAGGCGAGTGCTCAACGGCAACGAGTTGGTCTTTTTGATACTTTTAAATTTATGTAGAGAAAATAAATGAGCAAAAAAATTTAAAAAAATAAATATTTTTAACACTTTGAGCGGATCCTACCATGTAAACAGATGCAAATTGAATTACGAAGGCGGCTGGCCCCATTGAATCATGGTGGCTCTTTTGAGGTCTTGTTTTGACCACGTGGTGGTAATGCTGGATGATTAACACCTAAAAAATGGGAGAGAAGGTCAAAAAAATCGCAAATTATTTAAAAAAACGACGTCGTGCGAATGCTCGTCGGCAGTAGGGCGTAGATACCACCCACTCAAGTTGAATGATTGAATTATGAAAAAGTCGACTAAACGGAAGCATTTATTAATAAGAGCCCAAATTTCTCATTTGTGTGAGGAAATTGCGTCAAAGTTCTCGTTTGTGTTGTTGTAAACTTGTAAGTAAATATGAACAAGAAAGGTTTGGCTATTTTGATGAGAACCAAAATGAGACCTCTCTCCCCTACTACTGTAAGTCTCAATTCCCTCTCTCTCTCTATATATACTTATATGTGCATGTATCAGTATTTGATATCTCAATTGAATTTCTTGAATCTTTTATTGTTTTCGAGTTCTCTCTCGTTAATCTCTATTTTCAGTTAATTTTGGCTTTGTGATGTATTGTATTGAACAGCAATCACACAAAAAATTCAATTACAGTACTAATTTACATCGTATGTCAATACATTCACTTAGAACAATTTATATAGTCTGAATTATTCGAAAATATCGTTTTGATTGCATAAACCTCAGAAGGCATTCTATTTCGATTTTGTTCATTTGAGTGTTAAGATCGTTGAAAAATTCTATTGATTAGGCAAAGACTAAGTTTTTTATCTCTTTAAATTCAGCCGTGTTTGAATTGAAATTGAGATTGTTATGCAAGGGCTTTTGTTTGGAAACAGATAGGTTCGTTTCTGAAAGAGGTTGACAACAATGCTGCTTCGAATTGGAACCCGAGAAAAAGTAATTTGAAATTTGAACTAACAGGGTCCACAATTTCAATTCTAATTGTAGAGTGTGGATTCCATTTTGCCAAATGCAGTGTAAATTCTTTCAAAATTGAATTTTAGTAAAGTTAGCTACAAATATGTACTGTATTTTGATTTAGTGCATTATTTTTTGAGTTGGACATCTTTTTTTTCATTTATTATTGTTATTATTTATTTATTTTTTGAAAGTACAAGGTTAATCAAATGCAGCTTGCTCCAGAGGAGCGGAACACAACATCTACTCAGAATGCCTTACGCAGCAGTGGCAACACAGAGAGGTCTGTATATGTTTATAATTATATAAAATGTTGTTGCCTTCAATTCTTTGCTAAGATGGATTCTGGTTAAGAATCAAACATAGAATCCTTCAAAATAACCAGGTGATTGCTTGAGGTTTTCATTTTCGCTAGATGAAGATTTCTTTGGAGTCACAAACTAAATTGAGTGAGCAGAAATGAAATGAAAGCAGATCACAAGAAAAATAATGGGAAGATTGACTCCACTGATAATCAAGTAAAATATAAGGTGATGGATCACTTTAAAAATAATTAACTTATTAACACACTAGACAGATTACGGTTACTCAGTCAAAGATAAGGTGATGGATACTCTTTTGAACTATTAATACAAGTTTTTTCTGTCCAATGTTTTATCCCCTCTTCAAACACTGGTTCTCCCTTTGTAGGTGTTCCTTCGATAGTTATTATTCATCGTTAACCATGCCTTGTCATAATCAGACGTCTTTTGTCCCCAAAACTGTCAAAAAACTGCTTTATTGATAGAGATGCAATTTTGATCCATCTAGATTCTGTCACATTTACCAAACCTCTTTCAACTGTTGTTCATATGCCTTTTCTTTATTTGTATATACATCCTTAGTTATTGGTTGCTACTAAGGAATAAGTACATCAGTTCTTGTTATCATTGCCGCTTACAGGTGCTAATATACACACACAAACACATATGTATATGTTTATGTTACTGTTAGCTTTTACAATTTTCATTCTCCATGTTAAATTATATATGTTTATGGTAAAAAAATAAAGAGATTTTTTTTTTTTTACTATCTTGCTTCGCAGAGAGTTTGAGATTGTACGAGAGACAATGCATTCAGCCATATCAATGAACAAAATGGAAATTCTAGATGTTGTACTAAATGATTTTGCAGAGGTAAATTTTTACTGTTGCATAATCATGTCAACTTCTGCTACTTTGTTAGTGATAAGAAGAATGTGCTAATTATGTAGGGTTATTTTAGTCTTTCAAAAGAGAACCGTCGGAAATTACTCCTTGTACTTGCTAGAGAGTATGATCTCAACAGGACTCAAGTTCGTGAACTGATGAAGCAATATCTTGGTCTTGAGCTTCCTAATGGTGAGTTAGATATTGGGTTTGAACCTGGTATTCATCATAAGCATTTGGTTTTAACAGTTTCTGGTTTTAGATGACAAAGCTCAAGGTAATGATCATGAAGAGGAAGGTTCCCTTTCTGCGTTCTACAGGATTGAGCGTAATTTGAGACAGGCTCTGAAGCCAATGTATGAAGCTTTATTTGAACGGTTGAACACACATCCTGGAGGATTGAAGTTCTTGTCCATTATTCGAGCTGATATTCTATCTATTCTCGCGTAAGGTTATGGTCCTTGTAATTTAATTCAACTTACTTCTTCATTTTTTTCCAAGATATGGCATGGTCCTTCAATAAAGATTGAATAGACCTGACATGAATTTAGGTCAAAAATCTAAGTATTATACCAAAATGTTGTAGCCTTACAACTATGATTTGGTGGACACTTTTGTGAGTTTGGCATATTGGAACTTGGTCACAATAGTGTCTAGTAACAGGGATTTGGTCGTTGGTGGTTTCTGTCTTTAGCAAATAAGCAGTTTTTTCATAATTTAATCTCTGTTTGATAAATTTGACAATTGAAATTGAAGACTTTAGAAAGCTGAGTTTGTATAAAATCATCTTTCACTAAACAAACTTGGTGGTGCAGGTCATGGGTTTGGCAGAGCTTGCAATATGAAGTGCTAAAAGGAGTGTTAGCAAAAGCCCAGACCTACCAGATCGAGGGCTTCAATTACCGGGTCTAAGCGTGGCCTTTAGGAATATTTCAATACCCAGGTCCAGTTCCACCCAGCTAGTATTATATAGGAAGGATTAACATTAGTAGTCAACTACCCTTGATGGTTACGAGTAGCCTTTCCAATTTGTAGATACTTTTTATGGCTTCATTTTCTCAATCACTCTTCACCAACATATGATCCACATATACTTCCATATTTCTGCCAATCTGACCTTTCAACATTTGCATTGACCAGCCTTTGAGTCCCTAACTGAACGAATGCTCCTCCAAATCATTGATTCACCATATTTCTGTCCACAATTCCAGAAAGAAACTCTTCTTAAGTACTTACTCTGAACCAAGAGATCCAGAGTTCCTCCTTGGAGACTAAACTAAGGAGAACCAACCCTCTATCTGACCTCTGTACCAGTAGTGGAATGGCTTGCTACTTTCATCATTAGATGGATGGGGGAGAAAGAGGTACATAGAGCCAGGCTTACATACTTTTATCCATCTAGGTGTTTAGATCAGTTGTGACTTATGATCAAAACGATAGCGACATTGAAGAGCTGCATGACCATATCATGTAGAAGTATAGAGATAGTTGTACACATAAACTACATGTAGTAAGTCACGTAAAGTGTTATTCTTTAGTTGGACCATGCCTTAACGTTGCTTCCAAGCCTAGTGCAAGACTGTTGTCCTATACACCAAGCTTAAGCTCTATGATGGCCAGGGGCTGGCTATTTTGGCAGATTGGGGTGTCAGGCAGATGGCCACCCCTAACATTTAGCCTTTTTGTGATAAGTCAGGTCTTCTTAACTTAAAATTCAGATACTTATTAAGGAAAAGTTTCTTATCAAGTGATAACTACTGAATATTTTCAATGTTAGGCACTCAATTAGGTTATCAAATAACGTCTAGAGTTGGACAGGGATTTTGCTTGGTTCAGTGATAAAAAGCAAAGGCCGTCAGACATGAGAATGGGGATTTAAGTGAGACACCCATATTGTGAAAATTAATGATAAACATTAGGTCTGAATTCCTTTTAAAACCCCAGAATGCTGGACCGGCATTGGGTACCTTTTTTGGGTTCTGATATGAGAGATTTTTGCTTATTTCTTTTTATATATATATTTTCTATTTCTTTCTTTTCATTTTATTATTTATGTATTTCTTGTTATTATATTTGCATGTTTGCTCTTTTGTAAAGGAAGGATAAGTTGATCAGAGTTATGTTTGAATGATACTTCCATCTGTTTCCAGGCAATTGGATGGAACCTTAGTTCCTTAAAAGAGTTTTCAGTTTGCCGATAGAACATTAAGTATACATGGAACTTAGTTCCTTAAAAGAGTTTGCAGTTTGCAGATAGTACATCAAGTATAATAAGCATACCAAGAAAATCCGGGAGTTCTGAATTGATTCTTTTAAATATGCAGGGAGGAAAATATTGCATCTCTACGAGCACTTGATTCCTACTTAAAAGAGAAGCTTATTACATGGCTTAGTCCTGCTGCCCTTGAACTTCACCAAATTACATGGGATGATCCTGCTTCTTTGTTGGAGAAAATTGTAGCATATGAGGTATGCTTATCATTTCTGTTTGGTTACTGCTTTGATATTTTGCATGGTGTTTTCTGTCTGAAATATGATTGATTATCACTGCATAGGCCGTGCATCCAATCAGCAATCTTATAGATCTAAAAAGAAGGCTGGGAGTAGGTCGTCGATGTTTTGGATATTTACATCCAGCAATACCTGGTTAGCAATTTCTTTCTCGGCTAGAGTGGACTATTTTGGTTTACCTATTTCTTATTGTTGGCTTTTGGCCATAATAAAGTGTATCATTGTCCATCCACCTTACTTTTTTTCTGTGTAAAACTTGTTTATTGTTTTCTTTTTCTGTGAGAATGTAGTTCATATGTTATTTAAGAGATTGATAATTAAGATTCACAAATCAGACTCTCATCCTGAATTGTTGATTATTTTCAATTTTATGTCAAATGAATTGTTTATATTCACAAATTTTTTGAATTATACTTGGGTAATCTGAAGTTCTGATTATCACGATCATGCAACTTGCGAGTTCTGTATTGACCATTGCAGGTATTGGCACCGAATTAGAACTGAGGATTAAATGGGTTTGTGAACACATTGAAGCTCATTTATTGAGGCTAGAGAATTTATCTATCATGACTTGGTTGCAAAACCGTTAGTAAAAAACACTGACTGGCAAGTGGCGACATGAAGTATGAAATGTGGAGTTATAGTTAGCCATGCCTCCAAAAAAAATTGGCTGTAGGATGCATGCTTTTTATGTCAATTTATACTTTTTAAAATTTTGATATGTCTGTTCTAGTTGTACTTCTTCTTGTTTACAATGGAAACATTTGGTCTTGAGGGGTTTAATACTGTACCAAGATACCATGTTTGGATTATCTAGTTTCCTCGCCATGTTTTAAACTTGTTAATCAAGTCTGGCGGTGATTTTTCCTTTAGGTGAACCACTTATTTTTATTGAAGTTGCACTTCTGAAGGACGTGGCTCAGACAATTCAGGTGAAAACTCTTTTTTTTCCTTCTATTTATCTTGGCTAACACCAGTTATATATTGCTAACAGTAATTTTATCCATTTCAGGAAGTTCTATGGGATGATCCTCCAATACCTGAATGTGAGGCAACTTGTGCGTTATTTTACTCTATATCATCTACTCAGGTAACAAAGGTTATTTCTCGTATTTGTGAAGAACAATTGGATTGTAAAGCAACTGTCAACCATTAAGGGGCAATGATTGCTGTTTGTCAACTTTATCTGATTTGGAAGTTAATGTTGATTCATCTACAAGCGGAAACTTACCTTTAAAAATACTTCAGTATGAAAGGCTCCTGGAGAATATTTAACGTTTAATACAATTGCTAAAAAAAGTTCTGATACATCTGAAGTTGTCTACTCTCTAGTTCAAATTTGTTGACAGCAAAAGGTTATATAGTTAACATGAACTTCTCATTGTAACTATTTTTTAAACAGCTGGATATCTGCTGATTTACTAAAACAACAAACGAAAACCATTTTCCACTTTAAGGGTGAATGATCATTTAAACCATAAGCTTTTGGACATAAATACCCTTACTATTTAACACTGTTTACAAATAATTAATGATTAGCGTAATACTAATTAATATAATATAATTATGGTGTATATATACACACTATACTAGGCAACAAATGGGTATAATTAAACCACACAAGCGCACACCAATGCATGCACACCTATACACGCACCAGAAGACACACTTACAAATCAATTAAACCCATATGAAAAAATGGTGTTCAAAGGTCTGAGAATCGTTCAAATGTTCCCCACAGGCTAGAGCAATTTATGGCTAGCATATTAGCATTAATGTTCAGATATGTAATTGCAGAAAAAAGCATGATCTGATTTGGGTTTACAAATGGATTTCACATAGGGGGGCACTGTGATAGTGGCGGTGGAGGTCAGATTTTAGAGAGAAAAAAGTGTGTGTTTGTGTGTGTGTGTGTGTTTGTTTGTGTGTGTGTGTGTGTGTGTGAGAGAGAGAGAGAGAGAGAGAGAGAGAGAGAGAGGAGAAAATAGCAATGGTGGTGAGAGAGAAATTAGATTGCACTGATTTGGGATTAGGGTCTGGTGATGGGGGATTTTGCAAAGGAATTCCCTTAGTGCTCAACCTCTTTTCACTTTCATCCATGACCTTCTTTTCACCCTCTCTTATATTTCTCTCATACCTAATTGATTTACAAAAACTTAAAATTTGATTTGGGCCTAGAATATATATATATATATATATATATATATATATATATATAAATGCTTATATTTGCACACAAAAATTGATTTAGGGAATTTTCAGAGGGGATGATGGTGGTGATGAAGTGGATTTGAGGTTTTAGAGAGAGAAACATGTGTGAGTGAGTGTGTATGAGAGAGGCAGTGGTGATGATGGAGACACGAGTGAAAAAGTGGAGACGGCTGTATGTGTGGACGCAAAGGTTAGGCGAAGGTCTAGAGAGAGAAACATGTGATAAAGAAAGACAATGGCGGTGAGGGGGAATGGAACTGGTGGATTTGACAGTGGCGGCGGCATGTAGTAATGCTGCGGTGGGAGGGGAGAGAGTAGATGTCTTCCAATAAAAACATATGGGTATAAAAAGAAATAAGAGATTCGATGAATTCATCCTTATTAATTTTTTTATTTTAAACTATAAAATAATATAATGGTAAAAATGCCAAACCCATTAATGATTTAACACCATTTATTAGACAAACTTTGATAGGGGGTGTCAGAGTGATTTTTGCAATATTTTTATTGATAGTGACTAACAACAACTTGATGGGAGGTCATGATATTTTACCCTTCTAACTTTTACAAGCCTGTTTCCTGTTTTGTACCCCCTTTGGAAGCAAAAACAAAAACACATGCATGAGCAAGAATTATACAAGCTGCAGACTGCAACAGATTCATAGTGACCGATGCTCACCATTCATTAGTGTTGCTCCCATCTTAACTATCTTTTCTTAGTAATAGGATCAACATTTTTGCTATGGTTCAAAGAATAAACACTTTCTATTTGTAATCATGTGTAAGCCCATGTGCCTAATCTGCATGCTTTAAACATTGGCAGGCTGGATTAGCAGGGGTCAACCTAGGAAAGTTCCTTATTAAACGTGTGATTGATCTGGTGAAAAGAGATATGCCAAATATATCTGTAAGTACTTCTACGCTTATCTAATCCATATGATTTTGAAGTACTACACATTATTGAAGTTTTCCTACGAGGAATTCTAGAGTGAGGTGTTTATATAGTTTCCCACACCGTAACTATTGATCATAATTTCACACGGAGACCTTGCCTTTTTCCTGGTCAATTTTTGAATATGAACTTTTGGAAGTCGTAGCTCATAATCTCGATTGATCTGTTTAAAGAAATATAAATTGAACTTCTATTAACTTCTAGCAGTTTCATTGCTACTTGTCCTCATAAAAAATGACAAATGATGAATGGAACTGTCTACTGGCTCTGATTGATGGAATCGCGTCATACCATAAGGTGTTTACCAGTGGATGTTGTATTTAATATAGCTGTTCACTCACTCATAAGCAAGATTTGTGTGGCTTATGTGTGGAAAGGATGATACAATGGCTTCCAGTATATGCCGTGATTTCCATCTTGTTCAGTGCACAATTCTTTATGAACAAGATTTGATTTACATATATTCAGAAGATTATGATATGTAAGTTGCTCCACGGGACCACAAATTGTTGCTGCAAATACAATTCATGTAGTACTAGAATAGTTACTTGATATATCATTTAAGTTTGCGTAAGAATGATATACTTTTCATATGCAAGTGTTTTCAGGCCAGTGATCAGCATTATAGGTTTATTTGTTTAGGTTCATTCTGAGATTAATTTTTTAATGTTTTAAATAGACATTTGCAACGCTTAGCCCGATCCCAGGTTACATGCAATGGCTCCTATCTAAGTTGGCATCAGCAGAGAGATCTTCGTCCACCTTTCAGGAGAAGATGCTTGAACCAGATGAAGAAAGAGCACTTCTGGATGCATCTACGTAAGTTTCATATCCATTCAATTAATGTAATTTAATGAGGCAGCAGTTTTAACATTTTGGTGCCCTGGTGGGGGAATTGTTTTTTAATATTATGTAAATCTATTCTATGTTTGTTTTAACACTAAAGTAACGTCGAAATGAGTTGTCAGTCAACATAGAAACTATAATGGAAAATTGAAATGATAAAGTTTGTGCAACTGAACAAAATAAACTATTATTCAAATGCTATGAAAAAGAAAACAGGATGATTTTACAATACTGGTTTCCTTTTTCTAATGGGACTTTCTATTTTCTTCTTCTTCTCTCTCTCTCCCTCTCCTGAAAACATCCTAAGGAAACAGCATTCTCTTTGCAGAGAATCTGGAAATAAACCAATTTGAGAGTTGATCAAAGTTTTGCAAAGTTGGCACTACCCAACCCAGGATCTTAATGCAAATAGCAGAAACTGTTGCTTTTTTAACTATATATTTTCCTCGATCCTCTTGGACCAATCAACATGAAAGGTACCATCTTCAGCTTGTGGTAATAACTTGATTTAGTGCCACCCTCCATTACAATCTGATCCAAGGTTTAACTCAGGATTCCATTCAACCTCTTTTGTTCCAATTTAAATATAAAAATTAGTGTTACTTTGCACAATTCTTGTTTTGGAAGGCAAGAACTGTTAACAGAAGTTGAAAATATGTTTAATATTAGTCTCAAAAGAGTCATTACCCCATCACTCCACTTACCTTGACATCCTTGACATTTATGTTGTTTTCTGTGGGTTTTGGAAGATAGCTTACAGAGATCCATAGTTATTAAAGGCTCAACGTAGTTGAGGCATCAAAATTTCTTAGGGCTCAAGTGGAAGGCGCAGTATAAGATGCCAATGTGAGTGAATAATGGCACATATGTGATATTAATGCACATCAAAAATATATTTTCTGTTAAAAAGATTCAGAATATGCAACACAAATTAGTCAAAATTTTAAAATAGATTTTTTTTTGGCATATTGCAGCACAAGCATGTAAATCAAGTAATCAACCATAAGCCGATGAATCTCAGATATACCAAATATATATATATATATATATATATATATATATATATAATTTGATAAAAAATATGATCCATTGCCTACTGGCTATCTAAAACAATAAAAAAGATATGGTTTACTTAAGACTAAAAGCGTTCTTTTCACTGAAATCCACTAAAAAAAGTGCATGTCCGAGGCCTTTATATATGCCTGACTAAAGGGGCCTTGCATGTCATAAAATAAGGTGGTGTGGTTCAGCCTTGACGACGTTGGGGCTTTTCAGGGGCCTAGATGTGTCTTTCACATCAATAGATCTTAATTCCAATGATGACTTTCTTGCAAATTTTTTTAAAAAAGATTCTCTTACTACCTGTGCTTGCTTGAAAGCTTTCTTGCATCAATTTTTTTGCACTATACAAAAGAAGGCTAGAATTTTTTAGCATATTTTGTCGTTCAATTGTTTTTGAGTGACCTTCAAATTATATATATATATATATATATATATATATATATGTTTCTTTCCTCTTGTTTTTGCAAATCGCTAGAGACGATCTATTATATGGTTCTGAAAATATACTGATGACATAGACCAGCTGTCAGTTTGTGTTCACATCATCAGTTATTGATATTTTGTATAAAGATAACGGTACAATTGGTTCCTCAACATTGTCTAGTAGGCATGCTAATGTTTTCTGTTGCAGGGAATTTGCTAGTGGGAAAAATGGCATGGAAGTGATGTGGAATTTGTTGAGATCAAGCAATTATGAATGGATTAGTTCACCCAAATTAATGTCAGCATTAAAGACTCCTCTAATGCGACTTTGCGCCAGGTATATTACACTCCAATAATAAAAAATAATAAAAATTTGATAGGTAATAGAACACATAAAAACTTTTTTAAACCAAACTGGTTGGTTTTTTTAGTTGTTGCAAGTGAACGATTTATATGGAAGCTGAATTACTGTTCTTTAATGAACAACTGATACTTGACTGAAAAGGCAGCCATCTCATCTGCCTTTACTTCAAGAGAAAAAAAAGCCTATATTGCTAAACTGGTGGAGGCCATTTATACTTTCACGTGTAGCAAGGAGCAATTTAGTGTGGAACCGAATCATATTGATATATTGTCATGCATTCTATGACTATAGGTACCTTCTTCAAGAAAAGAAAAGAGGGAAAGCTCTTGATTCTGTTGCAAATTTTCACTTACAGAATGGAGCGGTATGTTGTGTAATCATAATTTGCCTAATACTTGTTAAAATCTTCCTGCTACTGATATTTTACTGCTCGAAAGCTTAATTAATGTACTTATATCATATGTGTCTTCTTGCTAATGATATTTTATTGCTCGGAAGCTATGGTAAATGTACTTATTTCATATCAATATATCATATATGTACCTTCATTTGGAAATAAATTTTAGGAGCTTCATGCCTGCATATGCTTCTTGGTATTCTGTGGAGAAGAAATTTCAACAAACAATAATTTTGCTCTGCTTTACTGTTTTAAGTATTAACAACTAAGGAACATAATTTCCACAAGAATACGTAACAGAGATCATATAGAGTGCATAAACAGGACGTTCCAAGCATGCTTAGGGATGATCAATGTTGGAGCAGTGAGAATATATGCAATATGTTTTTATCAATGTCGATAATTTTACCACATAGAATGTGCTGGCAGCCTCAGCTTTTGGTAGTATGGGAATGAAGGTCGAGGGAGTAGGGAAGAAAAGGTTTTTTGTTAGTGGCAAAATATGATAATTTAGCAAGAAAAGTGACATACTAGTGCACAAATTTCTGTTGATCTTATGAACCTGAAAATGGTTTTTGGAACATTTGGACGTCCAAGTTAGATGGTACAGCAATTGGTGATCAGAGTTGCAATTGTTTTTGAGTTGAAAAGGCAAAAAGAGAGAGACGTGTAAGAAGCTCTATTTTGACTATTCTATAGGAAATGCAAAGAAGCTAAATTCCAACATGTTTAACTAACATTGGTCTTAATGGCTAAAACTTTGGAAATTTGGTGGCCTTCTTGTGTACTCTTTTGTTATTTTGTCTTTCATGTTATCCAACAATTATACAGCTTCAAGAAGTTCCATGTTTCATCTTTGAGTTCACTTTTGGAATCCAATATAAAGGACAAAACTTTTGGCTAAATTTAAATCATCAAGAAGCATGGCTGCAGATTAACGAACCTATTTTCTCTTACCATTTGATAGATGGTTGGAAGATTGAATTGGATGGCAGATCGATCAGAAAAAGGCCTTCTTCAGAGTGGAGCTATTATGGTAAACTACATCTATAGGTAATTTTCTGCCTGAAAGAATAATTTTCTTTTGTAATTATTTCATCAGGTTCCGGTGAAAAAAAATGAGGTATCACATGGCAATACAATGCTCATAAAGTTGTTCCACACAACAATTGATTACTTCACATGAAATATCCTGCCTAACTCAAACTGATGATTATGAATTGCTTTTTTGAACTCAAGTACTTGCATTTCTTTACCTTTCCTCGGGATGTGATATGTCAGATTATTGCGTTCATCTATTTGTTATGGTGTAGAAGCCAGATAACACTTGTAAGGGACTTAGCAGATGGGATCTGTACATAATTTTACTTCAACTGAAAATTCCAACCCTTACATGAAACATTTTGAACAAAAATTGTAGGATGGAGAACATTGAAGAAAATGCTCAGTCGTATTTCAGCACAGGACATATCAATGCTTCTCATGATGTCCAATGCTATGTCGAGGTAATTTGCTGCTTATAAAATAGCGAATGAGTGCACGTACTGGCTCGTGGGTTGATATCATATGGCTTCGATCTTTAATCTCTCTCTGTAATACCTTTTCTTTTCACATCCACTGCCCCTGATGTTGCTCTGGTTTTGCAGCCATTAAAGAAAGATGAAGTGTCGTCAGATCAGGAGGTTAAAGGAGAGTAATGCACTAGAATGGTTTTTCAAGAGATTGTATAGGTAAAATGGATTTGAATCAAGTAAATTTCAACCTAAATTGTTGTCCCAAATACACTTGGAAGCGGCTTGAAGATGGGAGTGATCTCTAATAGCTCTGCTGGTTTGATAGACAAAGGCCTTGCTGAGGAACATATCCTTTTGGAATTATTTCTCTGCTTTTATGCAATTACATGTATCTATATGCTATTATATGGTGTCTATATGGGTTGGCTTTGTTGAAATACAATGGTAATTCGATCGGAGTATGGTTGCACCATGCCATGACTTTCAGTAATATATATATATATATATATATATATATATATATATATATATATATATATATTCCAGCATTTCGTGCATTTGTCGATATAATTCCAGCATTTTGTGAATTTACTGATTTTGAAATATGAATTGAACCCTACTGCACCAGCTTTGACCATTGATACTAAGGAGTGGGGGAGAAAATTAGGGGTGATATTCACACCTCTTTTTGTTATTTCATTCCTTGATAATTTTTTATAAATAAAAATGATACAATTATCTTGATTTTTGATAAATAAAAATGATACAATTATCTTATAAAAGTGGAGTGAAAAACTATTTCTTAAAATAATTATGGAGTGAAGCATGAGTGTACAAAAGTGGAGTGTGTCATTGTTTTTCAATTCCAATTTTCTATAAAGAAAAGAAGATTTAAATTTGGGAGCTTATTATATTTGCCATCTACAATTGACCTCCGTAATTGAAATGACTGTTTTGCCTTTGGCCTTTTAGGAGATGAATGGTAAACTTGTCATTTCAATTATTAATACTATGACAATTATTAATATTAAAAAACGGAGTGGCTGGTGTCAAATATGGAGTGACAATATTAGCTCGCTTTAATTTGAAGAACATTATGTATGATTTTAACCTGCTTTGTCATACATTAGTATGTTTCGTAATTGCTTTATTCAGTTTGATTATGTAATATGTTGTTAAAAAAAAAATCCATAATTTTGTGATTTAGTGTTGACGAGCAGATGAAGATATTGCGAGTTTAACAAACAAGAATTAAGTTGAGAGGAAAAGATATTGCAGGATATTTGGTTAAAAAAAAAAAATCCATAATGTTGTGATTTAGTGATGACCTCTGGTTGCTATTAGAAGGATGTTAGTGCACCCCTCAAAACTCAGAACTCAATTATCCAAGTTGTATTTGAATAATGAACTTATTAACAGAAATGTTAAACTGCAACCGAAGATATGAAAAAGATATGATCATTTCGGCTTTGTTTGTTTGAACGAAAAATGTTTTTTATTTTTTAAAAATATTTTTTTATTTTTTGATGTTTGGTTGTCAGTAAAATATTTACGAAGAAAAAAATATTAAAATTTAATAAATGTCGAATGGCAAGTTCAATAATTTTCATAGACATTCCAAAGTCGATCAAAGAAGCTTAGGTTTACTTTCAGTTGTAATCCCTGCTATATTTAATAAATAAATAATCACCAGAAATTGTTACTCTCCTAATAACAAACTACCCAATATATTAGAAGCAACCACCAAGAAGATGTGAAAGGAGCACTCAACAATAGAAATTCAACAAAGAATTGTGAGAGAAATATATAAGTTAACTTGAACAGAATAGGTAAATAATCACTAAAATTGTTACACTGGGATTATTTATTTATTAACTAAAGGACCACTAAATCAACGGTTGTAGGTAATATTGTTTTTAGTTGCCTGGCACACTCTCTAGCATCTTCTGTCACCTTCGCTTGCCGTGAATCTTTAAAATCTAACACATGACGGGGATCAATAATTATCTTCTCAAGTGATGCGGCAACCTCAAGTATGTGCAAAACAAGATCAAATTCGCTGCTGCTACTCCCAACAAACCCAACCAATTCCACCACCTTAAGGCATTGATGATGACATTTAGTCGCCTCTTTATCAGTAGTTCTATCTACAATTTGATCACCCCCTATTGCCTGCCAGCACCACAGGAGACGACATTATTTTGCAGACAAGGTTAAGAATATAACAAACTTTTAAACCAATACAGATTTGTAATTTTTGGTACCTGTCTATTTGAACTCAGAATCAGCTGCCATAAAGGAAGCTAATCAGATCAAAACTTGTTTACACAAGAAGATTAGATATTTTTTTTTTTTTAAAAAAAGGAACATACTTGCCAAAACTTGTTTCCAACATGCATTTGGCTAATATGAAATTTTTTCAAGAAAGTTGTGGGAAAATATTGTTTTGTTAGTTTGAGTAGCATGAAAGTGAAAAAAAAAAATAATCATACTTACCAAACCTATCCTTGTGAGTTTAAATACTAGAAAAATAAATGAATTTGTGTTACATCAATCTTCCTTGTACCCAAACAATAATAAAATTGTTCGAATCCATTTTTAAATTGTTCATATTTGAAAAAAGGTTTCCTAATATTTTTCTTATGCGGAATTCAATAATGGTTTAACTTTATTCTTAATACGACTCACATTACAACTTACAAGCGGCGATGAAGATGATTTTGAATTCCAAACATTAAAGTGCGTGCCTTTTGAATTTTTTACAATAACATATGATTAGCCACTATTTCATTGCCAGTTACAATGAACAGGTGTATTTTTTAATTTTTTTTGTTGAGTAAAATAGCGCTCTATCTACATCTGCTAAAACATAATGTTGTAAATGAAGTTTTTTAGAGCATGGGCAAGGATCACAAATTTAAGAGTGGGGGGTAGAATTACGACACTGCCTATGAGTTTCACCTAACGTCACTCTAGACCATTGATTAGAAAACACCAAAAAACACATCAGTGTCTCAATACATATGCCTGTTCTACACTTCTAATCTTGTCATCAATACATCTTCCTGTGCTCGACTTCTAATCTTGTCAGGAAACTGGTTCTCACAAACCTCCTCTAATCTAGCATTCATAGTCAAATACCCAAACACCCAACTCGTGAGACACATAAACTACTTTATTAGCACAATTGAAGAAATATTTTGCGGCTTGTAAGCATTGTTAAGGCTGAGAGATGGAGAAACAACTGGTGAGGGCATAACAGGAAACACAAATTTTGCGGGAAACTAAAATTTTCATGTTTTATGCAGGAAATGTTTTGAAAAAAATCGACCACTTGCGGGAATCAAAATTTCTTATAAATTTTCCTTCTTATCCTATCCAAACTCAAGATTGGGAGATGGAGGATGCTATAGATTTTTTGGATTTGTTGTATCGTCAGGAGATAGTGGAGGAGACTTCTGACATTTGCGTTTGGATTCCATATTCACATGGGCGCTTTGAGGTTCGGTCATTTTATCGTTGTTTGGTGGATGCTCCTGGATTGTCATTTCCATGGAGGGCCGTTTGGCGAACAAAAGCGCCTCTCAAAGTAGCTTTTCTTACACAGACATTCATTTTGGAAAAGATCTTGACCCAGGACAACCTCCAAAGAAGAGGACAGATTGTAGTGAATTGGTGTTTGTATTTGCAAAAATGGCAAGGAAACGGTTCACCGTCTTCTTTTACATTGCCCAGTGGCCTGAGATTGCTGGCTTATGTTTTTGGGTTTGTTTGGATTCATTAGGTTATGCCTCGGTCTACCAGAGGCTTGGTGAGGCCGTATAGTGGGGGCCAAGCTCGTGACTCTTGGAGGGTCACTCCTTTGTGCGTCTGGTGGTGTCTATGCCTTGAAAGAAATAGGAGATCCTTTCATGGAAAGGAAAATCATATTGGGTCGCTGGAATTCTCTATTCTTAGCACTCTTTTTTATTGTGTGCTAGGAAGAAATTGTAAATCCTTGGATGAGCTTGTAGAGTTTTTGGATCTGGTGAGGGTTTAGAGGCCCTATTTGGCCTTTTATTATTTTTGAGGGATGCGTTCCCCTTTTGAATTTTTTTTTATAAATTCTTACTTATCAAAAAAAAAAAAAGAATAACCACTTTATTTATTGATGTGAATGGTTAGATTTGCATCAAATATGACTTTCCAACACCTTACATTGGTGGCTAAGCAATTAGCCTTTTCAATGCAACTTTACAAGCAAGAAGATAAAACAATATTATAATCCGTAAACTTATGTAAGTTCCATTTTATTTAAGTACAGATAGCACATGCATACAGAAATTTTGCTTCTTGCAAGGTCCAATTTGTCAAACAAATGACCATGCAAATGTTACATTAGCATATAAATGATAAAGCAAAGAGTAAGGCGGGAATCCCATGTTCATATTTATCATAAAATTTTTATTGTAAGTTAGCTCGCTATAATTTATCAATTTAAGCACTTTATACTTTTAAGCTTTAGGTACAAATTCCTTTTTATTAAGGCTAGTAATAACTTAATTCACATTATTTACATTCTAGTAACATATTGTAAGACGTCTACTTTTTTCATCTGTAATCACATATTAATCACATGAAAAAACATAGCAGCTAAGGTTAAACAAGATAAGAGTGGCTAGATCAATAGATCTTTTTATAAATTTATGTTTGTGTCCTGGTTTTATATAATTCTTCTCTCTTTTTTTTTTTTCCTTAATTTCCTTTTTCATAATTGAGGACAATATAAGATAATTTGCCTCTTTCAAATTCTTATATTTCTCAGTCTCTTATCCCATTCCATTCTATCTGTCTACTTTTCCCTAACACTTGACACATTCTATCTGTCTACTTTTCCCTAACACTTGACACATAGCTGTGGTAAATTCAGAAGGCCTCCATTAAAGATTTTACTTAGGTTAATCAAATCATAAAAAGAACAAACCCACTAATTTCTCAAAATTATGGGTGTATTTTGAATGGCATTTTTTAAGAATGCATTACATTCAATTGTTATCTTCTTCATCTTCAACTCGTTCTTTTAATTTAATTCGGGTCAATTTTATATTATAATTTTCAGTAAGAAATCAACTTTGATATGTTTCCTCTTTTAACTTGTAGATTGGAATTTACTTGCAGAGGTGAAAGTGGCAGGGTTATGGAATTTAATGATGTTATCATCTTTCTGAAGTGGGAAGATTTGCATACTCATAATGGTGATTGATTATGGACAACTTAGTTTGCGTAATCGTCTTACTCACTGATACACTTGTGTGCAGTCTTACTAATAGTAGTTCTTCATTATACACTCACTGTTCGATGCAGCACGGACTCAATGAAACCATTTTCACCTCCTCAGCCCCTCCAATAAAGATCCTATTTTCTATCATATATTTACCTGTCTGCTTTCACCTCTCCCTCTCTTGTTCTTATCTCTCTACATTTAAGTCAATTTAAAATCATACACATAACTAAAAAATTTAAAATAAATCAATAATAATACTTCCATCAGAAAACAAACCTTAAATTACAAAGAAAGGATACTAACGTTAACAGTAAATTTAACCAATTGAGGAGACGCCTTGATCACAGAAACTAAACTGAGAAGGCTGTCACCTGCATCTGCCAGGACAAACAATTCCACTTCTTTGAGATTACCTAGCTCACGAAAATACTTTGGAAACCGATGGAAAACCTAAACCAAAAGCAAGCACAAGTTGATCATGATGTTTACGACGACCACAACCTAAAAAGAAGAAAAGAAAAGCATGCATACAATCACGCAATGATGGTGTATTCTAACCTCAGGAAACACTTGTAACTTGAGCTTTTCTATTTGAGTAATATAGCTGGAATGCTTGCAAGATTCAAAAACAAAGGACGCACCAAAATCTCCCCCAATAGATAGCTCAGATAGAAGAGGGACGTTTTTAAAAGGCACACTTATATCTCGTCCAAAGTAGGTGAATGAAACAAGATTTATTGCAGAAATTACAAGATTTTCCAAAGAGTGACACTGAGAGATCTCTAAGCACTTCAATTTGAGAGATGGGCCAGCAATTTTTAGATTCACTAGAGATGTTGATCCCACAATGCATAATTGTTCAAGAAACACACAGATGGATAGCAAATTCTCAAGCACCTCCTCCATGATATTAACACCAACCAAAGAAAGGGTGGTTAGGGAGCAAAAACCATCTGTGAAACCAATAGTCCTTGACACATGATGACTGTTTGAAGTCCTATTTATGAATTTGAAGCTTTCCAAGCTTGGAAAATCGTAAAATTTAAGCCACGGACCGGGTAACATCCCAGCCAACACATCCAATTCAAACCTTTGAACGCCCTTTTCCATTGCAAACTTAATCCAATCATCGATATCACGAGGGTAGTGCCCACGGAAACAAAAAGAAATCCTCATTTCATCTATAAAGGTGCCAAGATGCAATTCCAAGACTTTATTCACCGAACTTAAATACTTAGTAGGCTCTTCAAAATGAGAAGTACCGCTCAACCAACTCCTATACTTAGTAGGCTCTTCATGTGAAGTACCATCTGCTGAAGAAGCTCGCAATGTCTTTGGATTGAAGTTGAAACTAGCAGTTATATATCTCCATAAATATCTCCATCTGCGTGAGAGAACACTAGTACGTGCAGCTTCCTTAAGTGTCAAAAGAGACAGGATGGAAATGAGGATGTCGTCTGGCAATCCACTAATTCCATTCTTCATATGCTCTTTTCTCTGAACATCCAAATATTTGTCAACACAAGAAAAAGAAACCATAGTCAACAAAAATAATTGAAACCACTACTTTACTAAAAAAAAATTTAAGGATAACCATATATAGAAACATCACGATTGGAGAAGAATGAGAATTTATTCATGAAAAAGAAAAGAAAAAAAAAAAAAAAAAAACATGTTTTTAAGTAAAAATAAATAAGGCTACCTTTGTTTGGATATTAATTTTTTTTTTAATTTTTGGTATTTGGTTGTCGTGTAAAATAAGATAAAATAAAATTTACCTGGTACAGGAAAATATTTTTCTAAAGAAGATATTTTACAAACTGAGCCTAAATAGGTACTATTTTGTCAAAAAATTTAAAAACCACCCTACAATCCACATTAACAATAACCAAAAGAACACCATAACAGTTTCAGGTTTTTCTTTTGGTATGTAAGACAAACACCCATTGTTAGGACTCAAGCCTCAATTTCCCGTACTGGAGGAGGAGTTGATACAGTGCAGTTAAAAACTTGATAGTTATGAAAAAAAAATCTGAACTACAAAAAGAAAAAAAAAAATTAACTTTTTTTCCCGACAACAGTTAATTTTTGCTGTCATTGGCATAGAACTCAACTTCTGTTGCTTAAAAGAAGAGGTACACCGTGCTATCTTCCTCATTTTAATGACATAGTTGTTGATGCCGTTCCTTTTTTGATCGATATTCCACTGAAAGATAATTTAGGTTACTACACATAAAGCAAAACCAACAACACAATCACAAAAATAACAGAAATTATAAAACCATGAAAATAAGTGCAAGAAATTTACAGCAAACAAATACTACAAATTATCAAGCCCCGTCAAAATTGGGGCCACGACTTCACAATTTAGATAACTATATGCTTGCTAGGATCGATATCATTCAGCGAACTCCCCTTATTTGCTTTTGCCTACAAAAAGAATAAAATAAAAAATAACAATAATTCAGAAGTTGTAAAATCTGCAAATTGTAACACGGAAATATATATTGTTAGACATATAAATACATGGGAAGTGATTTATATGGGGGAGAGAGAGGAGGTATCTCGCCACTAACTTAAAACCGAAGGAGATTGAGAACATCGGACTGGGAAAACAAGGAGAAATTTACAGCAAACAAATACTACAAATTATCAAGCCCCATCAAAATTGGGGCCACAATTTCACAATTTAGATAACTATATGCTTGCTTGGATCATTCAGAGAACTCCCTTACTTCCTTTTGCCTACAAAAAAAAAAAAAAAAATTCAGAAGGTGTAAAATCTGCAAATTGTAACACGGACATATATATTGTAACATGGGCAGCGATTTATATGGGGGAGAGAGAGGAGGTATCGCTACTAACTCAAGGAGATTGAGAACATCGGACAGGGAAAAAAGGAGATTGAGAACATCGGACTAGGAAATTTATGAAAGAATATTAAAATCGCTTCGCCCATGTATGTCAATATAAATATATTGGTTTTACCCGTCTGATTTGACGTGGGCTTTGAGATTGGCCCGTTGAGCTACGTTGCATGAGGTCCAGCCCAGTAACTCTAGGGTCCATCCAATTTGCCGTTAAAAATAAAAAATAAAACAAATAAACAAAAAAGAAAGGGACTTACTAGTACCGTTGATTGAAAAGTCAAACAAAAGTAAAAAAAAATGTCAGAAAATTTCAGAGACTTTGACGCAAAAAAAATTCAAATGCTTACAGACACGCGGGATGCAGATACTATGCGACACAAATAAATTGATATGTCAAATTTTTATAAATAATATTACCTGGCTAGAAATTTTAAAATACACTAAAGGAACGTCACTGAACTATAGAGTTGTCTCAACCTGAATAGTAGGCAATATGCAAAACGCACATATAGTGGGCATAAGTACGTAAACCTATCAGGCTATATCTAGCTACACATTCCTGGCGATATACGCACCCTAATCAAAATAAACTATCCAATTATTATTTTAATTTTAATATGTCATCCACCTATTCCGTCGACCTAACACGAATAAATAGGACTTAACACTGTGGTTAATCCGTTCCCTTATTTAAAATAGGTAGGACTTGCCTTTGTGGTTAATCCGTTCCCTTATTCAAAGGAGAAGAGAAAGAATTAGAACTTACCTTTAGGGATTTGATAAAAACTCTAACCTCCTTCTTCTTTTTTCTCTTCCTTCCTCTTCCTTCTTTCTCTCTCTAAAATATCGTACGTGATATATTTTCTAACCTCTTTCACAACTCTATAGTTATATATTTATAGGCAACTAAAATAACCCTTATCCTTTTTCCATTCCAAGACAAACTAAAATAAAATAAAAATAAAATAAAATTTAAATACTAAAAAGGTAACTTAAATATATGTTACGTATAATCTATGTGTATTCCTTTTTATATATAATATATAAATATATATCAGATTATTATTTAAGGACTTTCCTTATATATATATATATATATATATATATATTAAATATACATATACATGGGTAATTATCCGTACCCATTAAACCCCTTATCCAAGTAGTCCATGGAGCTCAATTGATTGATCAATTACTACTATCCATATCCAATTCCTTAAAAATATAAAAATAAAATAAAAATAAAAATAAAACAATTAAATTCCTAAATAAATACACATCATCACATACAATTCAATTTAAACAAATAATTAAATCAATTAAACAAGTACACAATTAGTCAAGAAAACAACTAAATAATTAAATGCAATTAAAACTATTAAAATAATACCGAGACTGTCCTTTTTAAATTAGAGGTATTACAAAAATAAAAACCGAAAATAAAGTACAAACTAAAGAAAATAAATCTACTCTAAACTCCGAAAACCAGTGCACACTAATATTGAGATTTTTTTCCTCTTTTTTTTTATTATTTTTTTTAACAGTGTAGGTACAAAAAATAAAATAATTTAATAGAAAACTGTAAATTGAAATCTCAAAAAATTTAAATTCTTGTTCGATAAATTCTCAAAGTTTTTTTTAAAAAAAAAAAAAAAAGAAAAAAAAATTTGAGATACATATAGAGAAAAAAGTTTCAAAAAAAAAAAAAAAAAAATGAAAAAGAAGAAGGTAATGTGCATATAATACCCTTGTAATATGATATTAGTAGCATATATACCCAATTGGGCATTTTCAGAAGAGTAAAAGGGCAAAACGAATATTATAACACTAATTTATGTCAGATTTTTGATTGAGGGGGTATTTTTGCATAATGTGAAAATATTAAAGGTGTTTTTTACACACTTCTTCAAAAAGATAACACTATTTTAGAGCCCTTCCTTCATGTTCTTTTCTACAAATCAATTGGTAAACTTTCTAATTAAACATTAATACACGATTAAATGAGCTAATCGTTGAAAGTAGAGATGATCATTACATACAAAAATCGGGCAAATTAAAATAGTGTCCATAAAAATTCAAAGCCATAGAAGCTTAACTTTAGTTTCAATTGTAATCCTGCTATAATTAATAAGTAAATATGATCACCAAAAATTTTTACTCCCCCCAGAAGACATGGTAATGGATGATGCTGCAACAAAATAAGATCAATTTTGCTGCCACTACTTCCAATAAATCCAATCAATTTCATTATTTTTTAAAGTTTTTAATAAAAGAATAGTACAACAATATCAAGTAATGCAAAACAAGATCAATTTCGTTACTCAACCAATTTCACCACCTGGGTAGGGTGATGTAGAGTATTGTAATTAGTAGATTTTAGAAGTTTCACCCAACAATTTTACTATGCTTACTCTCAACAAACCCAACCAATTCCAGGTGGGGTGATTTTTCAAGTCTTTCAAAGTGATGTAGAACATAGTTAGTAAAATTCAGTACCAAAAAAAAAAAAATGCGGATTCAGAAACGTAGAAGTGTAATCGTTTTATACAGAATGGTGATATTAAAACTTAAATGGATAAAAATTGTATGTACTTTATACGTACACGTAATTTATGTATATCATATGCAAATTTATTAACTAGTAAAATTTGTAAATAATATAGATGAAGAGTATCATTTGTAACCAACAAATTATAGGGGAGAGACTAATACCAACAAGTTATAGGGGAGAGACTAACATGACAAGCTTAAGAATATAACAAACCCTTGCAACAATATAAATAAGGTTGTAATTTTCACTACCCATCTATTATCACGGCCAAATAAAAATCTGTTTACATATAAGATTAGAAATAAATAATACTAGTAACAAATAACATTTTATATTAAAAGCTACCACCAATAACATTTGGCCGGTTGAACTTCGTTCCCAATTTATTAAAAACTTTCCAAACCCAATTATACAAATTAGCTTTCACTTAGCAGCTAGCACATATATAAAGTTAACATGAACAGAATAGATAAATAATCACTATAATTGTTAGAATGTTATTATTAATTTATTTAACTAAAGAACTTCAGACAACAGATTAGATAAAATAAATAATACCACCAATAAGATTTGGTTCGTTGAACATCATTCCCAATTTATGGTAAACTTTACAAACCCAATTATAAAACTTGTCATTAGCACATATATGTAAAGTTAACATGAACAGAATAGGTAAATAATCACTACAATTGTTACACTGGGAGTACTTATTTAACTAAAGGAACCACTAATTCAATGGTTTTGGGTAATATTGTTTTTATCTGCCAGGCACGCTTTCTGACATCTTCTATCAACTTGGCTCTTATAGGTGGAACTTCTTTATATTCTAAAAAAGGAAAAGGATGAATAATTATTTTCTCTAGTGATGCCGCAACCACTAGTATGTGGAGAACAAGCTCAACTTCGCTGCAGCTACGCCCACCAAAATCAACCAATTCCACCACCTTAAGGCATTGATGATGACATTTAGTTGCCTCTTTTTCAGCATTTATAGCTGCAATTTGATCAGCCCGTCTTACCTGCCAGCACCACAGGAGATGACATTATTAGCAGACAAGGTTAACAGTATAAAAAACTTTTAAACCAATAAAGATTTGTAATTTTTGGTACCCGTTTATCATTCGCACTCAGCATCAACTGCCATGGAGGAAGATAGTCAGATAAAAACTTGTTTACACAAGATTGGATAAAATAAATAAGAACATACTTACCATAACTTGTTTCCAACATGCATTTCGTTAAGACGAAAATTTTTGAAGAAAATTGTGGGAAAGTATTGTTTTGACAGTTTGAATAACATGAAAGTGAAAAGAAAATGATCATACTTACCAAACCTATCATTGTGATTTCAAATACTAGAAAAATAAATGAATTTGTGTTGCATCAATCTTCCCCATACCCAAACAACAATAAAGGTTTCCTAATATTTTTCTCATGCGGAACTCGTTAATGGTTTAACTTTATTCTTAATACAACTACCATTACAACTTACAAGTTCCAAAAATGTAAGTTCCAAAAATTAAAGTGCGTCTTTTCAATTTTTAGAATAACATATAATTTTCAACTGTTTCATTGAATGAACCGGCATATATATATATTTTTTTTGGGGTAAAATAACACTATATACATCTGCAATATATATTAAAAAATAAAAATAAATACAAATTTGTTGTAAATAAAGTTTTTTAGAGCATGGGCATGGATCACAAATTTAAGAGTGGTGGGTAGAATTACGACACCACGTATGAGTTTCACCTAATGTCAAATGTTTGCCTTTAGACCATTGATCAGAAAACACCAAAATACACATCAGTGTCTTAATACATCTCCCTGTTCTACACTTCTAATCTTGTCATCAATACATTTTCCTGTGCTAGACTTCTAATCTTGCCAGGAAACTCGTTCTCATAAACACCTCCTCTAATCTAGCATTCATAGCCAAGGCACCCGACTTGTGAGCCACATAAACTACTTTATTAGCACAATTGAACAAATATTTTGCGGCGTGTTCAGCATTGTTAAGGCTGAGAGATGGAGAAACAACTGGTAATGGCATAATAGGAAACTAAAATATAGAACACAAATTTTGCGAGAAACTAAATTTTCTGGAAATGTTTTGGAAAAAATCAACCACTTGTAGGAATCCTAATTTCTTATAAAATTTCCTTTTATCCTATCCAAACTCAAAAAAATTAAATCTTTTCCATTTTTTTCCCTTTGCTACTTCTTTCAAACCAAATAGACCCACTATGATTCAAGTGCTCATCTGTTACCCGCAATGACGCAGGCTTGAGTCCCGAAATCAGCCTACCTAGAAATAGGAGTAAGGCTGCTTACCATCTACCTCTTTCAGGCCATGCTAGATGTAGGAGGCTTGTGCATGGGGAACGAATATATATATATAAAATATATTTCAGTGGTGATTTAAGTAGGACTGCAAATGAACCGAGGGCTCGGCTCGGGCTCATTCGTTTAGCTAACGAGCCGAGCTTGAGCACAAATTCTGAGCTCATTTAATAAACGAGCCGAGCTTGAACAATGTTAGGCTCGGCTCGTTAGGCTCATGAACAGGCTCGTTTATCAATAATTTATAAGGTTTTGATCCAACCCAATAAATTTGATCCATTAAACAACATAAGCCCAGATGTATAATACATTCCTAATATCCTATTATCTAAATGAAAAACCCAAAGACAAAATGGCCCATATTTCATTTTAAAGGCCCAACTGACCTACCCATTAATGTTGACACATAACAAACCCTAATCTTATAGGTATCATTATCTGCAACGATGCGCAGCGCATCCCCATTTAGCCTCCCGATCTTTAATTCTTCTTCAGTATTTTGTATTCTTTTGGGACAACAAAGGACGAATCATGAAATTAACTGCAAAAAATGAATGATGCACAACTGTTGATGATATCAGACAATCTCAACCTCAAGGTATGCCGTATGCATAAAACATCTAACTATACATCTATAACTCAACACACAATTTGATTGTGTTATGTATATACACTCATCTATTGTGTATTATATATGTGTATATCTATGCACAAACAAGCCCGAACCGAACCAAACCGAGCCCGAGCTCGCTCATATTCTGACGAGCCGAGCTTGAGCTTGGCTAGGTCAAGCTCGCCCGAGCACCTCTCAGATTGTAGTGAGCCGAGCCTGAGCATGACAAAGCTCGGCTCGGCTCAGTTCATTTGCAGCCCTAGATTCAAGTAATGCCATCAGGTTATGCAACAAACTCTTGTCATCAAAGGCAATGTCACAAACAAAGCAACTCAGTTACATAATGGTCATTCATACTGGATATAACATCAGGAACCATCCATATAAGAAAACCACAAAGAAACATTACCACAATTTGTTATTTTCGATATCCCTGCAGAAACTGTCCCCGGTTGCTTTAACTGGCATTAGAAGCTACAAAACACTCTAATAATAATCACTCCCAGAGCACAAGTGTAGATTAGAAGGTGAGGTGGTTTATAAAAATATTAAAATTCCTTACCATGCCAGAAGCCCTCAAATCACTCATTCTACTTCAATGTCTATTCAATGTCAGTTATGAAAACAAAATTCACTTCATGCCAAGGGGAGGATTAAAGTGAACAATTCTCCATACAAATTTACTTCTAGCAGTACAAGGAGATTGAGCGTGCTTCAAAACATCACAAAATTTAAACAATCGAGTTAATTCCTCAAGGAATGACCACGAAGTGAATCGTCCATGAAGTTTTTTGGAATAGCACAAAGAGAATATATCTTGATGTCCTTGGGTTAACAATTTTTTTTATTTTTTATTTGTTAAGCAAAATTTCATTGAAAGCATTCAAAAGGAGAGCGCGCCCAAGAGAACATGTACAAAACAATAAACTCTATGCCAAAATAATCCCCTATACACTCACTCTATCCACAAAGGCTAGAAAATCCAATACAATCCCTCCCATTAACCCAGACTAAAAAAGAACAAAGAATGGACAGTTCTAATAGCCAAATAGAAGATTCCTTCCCTATTTCGTTCTACACACAAGCCCCACCAAATACGAAGTGGAATCACTCTCCATGCATCCCAGGCTAGCAACCCGACTATACAACTGCTCAAAGCCTGGAGCATCCTCAACGTGAAACCTGGCAAGACCCAACAAACTAAAAAGGGAAACAAACATGTCCACACATCCCTAGCCAATGCATAATGTAAGAAAAAGAACATCAATCAAACTATTAATCCCTCTTGCACATGCAGCACCAATTTACCAAGATTTAAAACCTCTTTCTTGTTGATTGTAAAAATCCTCCCAAAAACAACCGTCAATCCAAAAAAAGCAACCTTGAGGCAACTTTTGGTATGCCAAACCGCCCTCCTAGGAATGGTGGACCCTCGAGCATTTGGAAGCCTCCGGTTAAAAGAGGACACTTCGTACTGACCTTCCCTGGATTCCTCCCAAACCCATACATCAGCCCCCTTAACTACCACCCTCTGATGGTACGACGACACCAAGAACTCAACCATGTCTTCCATTTCCCAATCCTGAAGATATCTCACAGACGACACATCACAAGTCATCCTTCTGCTATCAAGGCGATAACAAACAGCTATAAAGACATGACCATCTAGAGAGATCCTAAAAAACCTCTGGAAAACACTTGCAATTGGCCTATCCCCACACCGTGGATCAATGTTGTTAAAGGCGCGCCTAGGCTCGAGGCTCAGGTTTAGCGCCTGTTATCATCACAGGCTCATTGATGTTTACCAGGCACGTGCCTCGGTTGCGCCTTGTCCTATATGTGAGGTGCGCCTTTCTTAAACCAAAAAGGATACTTTTGGAACTTAATAAACAAAAAAGAAAGCCCAAGCATACGATAGAAGGAACTTTAATTTGTTCAAAAGAATAAACAAATAAGAAAGCCCAAGAGTCAAAGTGTTAACCGAACAGCGATAGAATGAGATTGTGAAATGAAAACGAAGCCCTAGTTGAAGAGATGAACGAGGAAGTCACATCAGTTCTTTCTTTCTTTCTTTTTTTCTCTCCTCCTCTACTTCTCTCTCCTCTCTTCTTATCTTTGTTTACATCTCTCTCTTCGTCTACTTCTCTTCTCTCTCTGTCTTTTTTTTTTGGGCTCTGTTTTTCCTGTTTTTTTTCTTGTTTAACATTTTTTTTGTTAACAGATTTATTTCTTTCTGTGCTTTGTTTTACCATTCAAAAAAACACATTTTGCATTGCCTTCCAAGAAAACAAATTTGTGCTATGTTTTATGGTTGTTGGATAGTTGTATAGTTGATGGATTTACTTTTTTATATTTGATATTAATTTTTAGAATATTGATATGACTTATGAGATATGAATGTTATTATGATAGTTTAAATTTTTAATTGTGCACCTCACTTCACTTAGGCGTGCGCCTCGCGCCTAGGCTTCAAAGGACCTCTGGCGCCGTGCACCTTGGGCCTTTAATAACACTGCCATGGATCAAACCAAAACCTAATCTGTCTCCTAGAGATCTCTCCCTGAACCAAGTATGATTGAAAATTCAATTCCACCCTCCCCCAATCCAAGAAAAAGGTTAAAACCACAAGGGGCTAATGTTTGCCGCCTTACCAATGCAATTAATGGCCAAACTTCAACTTCAAAGCAAATTTCACTCTCTTCTACAGGTTTTATAATAGTAAAAACGTTACAGAACACACGCTAAAACTAATAGAATGGAAATACAGTAGCTCAGAGCCATTATCCTTTGTGGAATGGAAGGCCAAGCTGTTAGCACGTAACCGTTGTTTTAAGGCTAAGAATAACCACTTTATTTATTAATGTGAAAGGTTAGATTTGCATCCAATATGCCTTTTTCATTATAAAACGGTAAACCATTTCAACTTTACAAGCAAGAAGATAAAACAATATTTATTTACATAATCCATGAACTTATATGAGTTCCATTTTATTTAAAGTACAAATAGCACATGCATACAGAATTTTGCTTCAACCAAGGTCCAATTTGTCAAACAAATGACCATGCACAAATGTTACATTAGCGTATAAATGATGAAGTAAAAGTAATGCGGGAATCCCATGTTCATATTTATGATAAAATTCTAATTGTAAGTTAGCTCACTATAATTTATCAATTTAAGCACTTTATACTTTTAAGCATTGGGTACAAATTCCTTTTTATTTAGGCTCGTAATAACATATTGACATTATTTACATTCTAGTAACATATTGTAAGACTTCGACTTTTTTTCATCTGTAGTCACATGAAAAAACATAGCAGCTAAGGTTAAACAAGATAAGAGTTGCTAGGATCAATAAATCTTTTTATAAATTTATGTTTGTGACCTGATAATATACATTTCTTCTCTCTTTTTTTTCCCCCCTAATTTCCTTTTCATAATTGAAGACAATATAAGATATTTGCCTCTCTTTCAAATTCTTATATTTCTCAGCCTCTTATCCCATTCCATTCTATCTGTCTACTTTTCCCAAACACTTGACGCAAAGCTGTGGTAAATTCAGAAGGCCTCCATGAAAGATTTTACTTAAGGTTACTCAAATCGTATAAAGCACAAACCCACCAAGTTCTCAAAATTAAGGGTTTAATTGTTATCTTCTTCATCTTCAACTTGTTCTTTAAATTTAATTGGGGTAAGAAGAAAAAAAAAATCAGTAAGAAATCAAGTTCAATATGTTTCCTCTTTTAGCTTATAGATTAGAATTTACTTGCAGAGGCGAGAGTGGCAGGGTGACATTATCATCTTTCTGAAGTTCAAAGATTTGCCTACTCGTAATGGTGATTGGTCATGGACAACTTAGTTTGCGTAATCGTCTTACTCATTGATACGCTTGTGTGCCGTCTTACTAACAGTAGTCCTTCGTAAAACACTCACTATTTGATGCGGCACGGAGTCAATGACACCGTTTTCACCTCCTCAGCCTCTTCAACAAAGATCTTATATTCTATCATATGTGTACCTGTCTGCTTTCACCTCTCCCTCTCTTGTTCTTATCTATCTACATTTAAGTCAATTTAAAATCATACAAGTATTTAAAATAAATCAATAATAATAATTTCATCAGAAACCAAACCTTAACTTACAGAGAAAGGATACTTACCTCAACAGTAAACTTAGACAATTTAGGAGCCGCCTTAATCACAGAAGTTAAACTGAGAAGGCTGTCATTTTCATTTCCCATGACAAACAATTCCACTTCCTTGAGATTACCTAGCGCACGAAAATACTTGGGAAACCGATGGAAGTCCTAACCAAATGCAACCACAAGCTGATCATGATGTTTACAACAACCACAACCAAAATAGAAAATAAAAGCATAAAATCACGCATTGATTGTGTATTCTAACCTCAACAAACACTTGTAACTTGAGCTTTTCTATTTGAGCAATATAGCTGGAATGCTTGTAAGATTCAAAAACAAAGGATGAACAGAAACGTCCCCCAATAGATAGCTCAGAGAGAAGAGGGACATTTTTAAAAGGCACACTTATATCCCGTCCAAAGTAGGTGAATGAAACAAGATTAATTGCAGAAATTTCAAGTTTTTCCAAAGAGTGACATTGAGATAACTCTAAGTGCTTCAATTTGAGAGATGGGCCAGCAATTTTTAGATTCACTAGAGACGTTGATCCCACAATGCATAATTGTTCAAGAAACACACAGATGGATAGGATATGCTCAAGCACCTCCTCCATGATATTAACACCAGCCAAACGAAGGGTGGTTAGGGAGCAAAAACCATATGTGAAACCAATAGTCCGTGACACATGATGACTGTTTGAAGTCCTAAATAAGCATTTGAAGCTTTCCAGGCTTGGAAAGTTGTAAAATTTAAGCCCGGGACCGGCTAACCTGCCAGCCATCACATCCAATTCAAACCTTCGAACGCCCTTTTCCATTGCAAACTTAATCCAATCACCGATATCGCGAGGGTAGTCCCCACGGAAACAAAAAGAAATCCTCATTTCATCTATAAAGGCGCCAAGATGCAATTCCAAGACTTTATTCACCCAACTTACATACTTAGTAGGCTCTTCAAAATGAGAAATATTGCTCAACCAACTCCTATACTTAGGAGGCTCTTCAAGAGAAGTACCATCTACTGAAGGAGCTCGAAATATCTTTGAATCGAAGTTGAAATATCTCCATAAATATCTCCATAAATATCTCCATCTGCGTGATAGAACACTAGTACGTGCAGCTTCCTTAAGTGTCAAAAGAGACAGGATGGCAATGATGATGTCGTCTGGCAATCCACTAATTCCATTCTTCATATGCTCTTTTCTCTAAACATCCAAATAATTGTAAACACAAGAAAAAGAAATCATCGTCAACAAAGGTAAAGTGCAAAAAAAAAACCCTTTGAACTATTGCCCTTTTACAAATTACCCCCCCGAACTATTGATTTGTTGCAATTAAGAACAAATCCATCACAAAAGACTATTTTACCCTTTCTCATTAAATTCGTCATTTCTTATTATTTTATTTTTATTATCTTTTCTCTTATATGAATATTAGTTATACCATTTACCTTAATTTTATACAATATATTATTTGTCATACAAAATATTCATGAAAAATCAATTAATTTCTTAAATAAAAAAATGCAATGCAATATACTCATGAAAAATTTTAAAAATTACTTAAATTGTTTTAAAATTTTCTACTTAAGATTTTTATTTAAACAATTAATTTAAAAAATTAAAAGTAAATTAATGCAAATTTAATGGAGAATATGCATAGAATTAGAAGGAATTTATTTCATAATTTATTTCAATAAGAAAAACAGATTAAGTGCAATTCAATAAGAAAAAGCATTATGGTCATTTAATAAAAAATAGTCTAGGCATTGGAACATTTTGCAACAAAATGTGATAGTTCAGGGGGTATTATGCACAAAATATACTTCAAGGGGGGTTATTTGCAATTCGGAAATAGTTCAGGGGTTTTTTGCACATTAAACAAAAATTATTGAAACCACTACTTTACTAAAAATTTAAGGATCACCATAGAATCATCACGATTGGCAAAAAACAAACAAACAAAATTTCTCATACATTTGGATAAGAACGCGTATTTATTCATGAAAAAAATAACATTTTTTTAATGTAAAAATAAATAAATAAGTACTACTTTGTCAAAAATTTAATAACAACCACATTAACAATAACCAAAACAGTTTCAGGTTGTTCGTGTAAGCAGTGAAGACAAACACCCAGTGTCAGGACTCAAACTTCAATTTGATACCAGTGGAATAAAAAATTTGATAGTTATGAATAAAATCTGAGCTACAAAAAAAATAAATAAACAATAACTTTTCCTTTTTTGCAGTCATTGGAATAGAACTCACCTTCTGTTGCTTGAAAGAAGAGGTACACTGTCCTATGTTCCTCATTTTAATGATATAGTTGTTGATGCCATTCCTTATTCAATATTCCACTGAGGATAATTTATGTTATTACAAATACTGCAAAACCAACAACACAATCACAAACATGACAGAAATTATAAAACCATGAAAATAAGTGAAGAGATTTTACATCCAAGGAAGATTACAAATTATCAAGCCCCATCAAAATTCGGGCCACAACTTCACAATTTAGCTTGCTAGGATCATTCAGAGATCTCCCCTTATTTGCTTTTGCCTACAAAAAGAATAAAATAAAAGTAATTCAGAAGTTCAAAAAATCAGAAAATTGTAACACGGACATATATATTGTTATTATATATAAATATATACACGTCTATATAAATACATGGGAAGCGATTTATATGGGAAGAGAGAGAGAACGTTCTCGCTACTAACTTAAAACCAAAGGAGATTGATAACATCAACAACTGGAAAACAAGAAGATACCCGGACTGGGAAACTTATAGTTGCTATGATGTGCTTAGGTTAGGTGGGTAAATCAGCCTAGTCCACCATGTGTGTCATGTATCATGCAGAGTATAGACTGGTCTATTAACCTACACTAGACTACGCGATAACTACAATTAGATAAGGATGCCATGGTTGCAGCATTAATGCTTTCAGAGAGAGATTTTTGTAGTTTGACAGAGATATTTTGTGGGGTAAATAGTTGCTAAGTTCCTTAGTTGTTAAGAAATTTTGAATGCCTATCAATACATATATGTGATTGATATAATCAATTTTATTCAGATTAATATGGAGAATATATTGAAACTCGAGACGAGGACTTCCCTTTCTTCTGCTCTCCTTTTCTTCTTGTTATTACCCCTCAATCAATCTAGCCTATCAGATATCAAACCAATCGGAATCGGATAAGCACAATAAGCTATCTGATCCTACGGATTCTAATCTATTCAATCCATATTAGATAATCACTCTCTCGGATGTCCGATCCTGTTAGCTATACCCTTTAGCAATTTATACAAACAAACACAAACCAAGCAAATTGATACAATCAATCATCTCACTATTACTACTCAGAAATTAAACAACAAATCTAAACATGATAAGGTTTGATCTATGTAATTAACGTTCATCCTGATATTGAAAATATGTTTAATATCTTCCACATAAAGGTAAAACAAAGGGGATCAAATCTAGGTTAAAAAGAGAGAGATTGAAATGGGCTCTTAACAAAGAACTAAAATCACCATAAACAGAGAAAAAGAGAGGAAATAAGGGGGAACAAAAAAAAAAATCTGAAAAAACTTTTGCAAGATTGAAAATTTAGGGCTTGTAATAATGAAAAGAGATGGAAAAATAGAAGAAAAAAAGGAGAGAGAGTAACTAACCTGAAATACTCCGCAAGGCTGGCTCCCCTAGCCCCTTCGTGCCGTCGATCGATTACTCTCCCTTCACCTTCGTTTCTCTCAACTCGAAGCACGATACAGACTCTTCTGAAATTTTCTTCTTGCGTCCTATAAGAGAGATTGTCATAGTATCTTAGGTGAGAAAACTGTACTCAACATGGCATGTAACATTGTGAATTTGTGATTAGTGTTTAATTTTTTTTACCTTGATTACATCGGTACAAATATGATGCTGATATATACGGAGTATTATTTTAATCCGAATCGGGTCGGATCAATTCAAAAACCATATATTGAATTATTTTACGGAGTATTTTCTAGTTGATCCATATTCGGACAATCCGAATTAATTGAATCGATTTCCCAGGTCTACCCTCATCTTTCTACTTCTCGTCTCCTCCTTTCTTCACTTTCCTTTACGCTATTTTGTCCCTATTAACAACCCAAATCCATCTGCTACCGTCCACCATCTAGATCTCTAGCCTTAACCTACCACTACCAGGTCCCTGAAACTCAATCCACACAATTACCAACTCTAATTGACAACCATCAGAGCGCCCTAACCTACTGTTTCAAGCCAACCACGGCCCATGAAACCCTGCAACCGATTAGCCCCTAGTTCCTAAAACCCTAACATTCGAAACCTTCGGTCGTCGGTCTCAAAGCCACATAAAAAGTCTCAAAGCAGCACAAAAAAAATAATAATAAATAAGTAAAAGGGCGGAGGAGGAGAAGAACAGTTGAGACGCAAACCGATGAGGTACCTCCAATCTTTCCCGTAACCTCTCGTCGTCGTCGCTTGCCGCCTTCCGCTCATCCATCCGTCGCTGTTGAACGGCCTGAAAGTAGGGATGGTAATTTGATGCGTCCGCGGTTACCCGCCATGACCCGCCCCGATTTTGACGATTTTGGGGATCCTTTTGTTTATATGGGCAGGGATAGTTTCATGTAATAAAAATTCGCATGGGTTTGGTGCGAGGCACAGGAGATTGCTCCACACCGCCCCGTCCCACCCTGTCTAGATAGACAAATTACTTATGTACCCTTATTTCAATAGTATATATATTTATCACTATATACTACCCTATTTAACAATATTAAAGTAATAAATGAATTTGATTAAAAAGAAAGTTGCAATAGCGAAGAATTAAAGATGAGGGTTAAAAAAAAAGAGTAAATCTATTTCAAAAATAAATAAATTATGGTCTTAAACGGGGCGGGACGAGTACTCGTGGGGGTAAAAATGTTAAACGGTTACGGAAATAGGTTAGAAAATTCTCCCGTTTTTGCTGTTTTGGACAAAGACGAGGGCATGGTTTTTAAATGGTTGCGGAGGCGGGGGAGGATACACCCACCCAAACCTGCCCCCGTTACCATTCCTACTTGGAAGTCTCCCGCACTCTTTCGATCGATTTGGGGAGGTTTCCATACTCATAATTTAACCCGACCCATATTTCAACTTAACCCATAAACAATCCTGAACCTCACCTAGTTACCCAATTCCTTTAAATTTCAACCCAACCCATATTGAATTTAATCCAGCCCAGTAACCCACACTGGACCTAATCAGACCTGGTCCAATCCAAATCAAATAAGACTTACTCCGTATTTGCTTGTCCGATAAACCGATAGATTATTATACTAAAATCATACTCCGTAGCTAATTTGTTTTTTAATGGGTATCTGATATGATAACTCTATCCGAAAAAGGATGTAATTTTTTATTTTAAAAATTAATGTTAATTAAAAAGATATCAGCAACAATGATTGGGGAAAAAAAAAAATCAGAGAAAAAAAATAAAAATAAACAAATATATATATATATATATATATATAAACAAAAAAAAAGAAAAAAAGAAAAAAAGTAGAGAATTAAGTAATTTACTTTTTTTTAAAATAAAAATAATAAATAATAAAGATAGACAAAGCCAAGAAGAAAAAGAAAATAATGATTAAAAAAAACATTTTAATTGTATGTAAATATTATATATTATAGTATTAGATAATATATTTATACTATATTTTATATCCTATTAAATCGGATCGACCATAATCCATATATAGTTTGTTTAGCTAACAGATTGCCGAATTTAGATTATTAATGAGTCGTGTATTAAATGTTCTAATTCATATCCTAATTATATACCGGTGTTATTAAATATCCAAGGCGCTTAAGGTCCTTTAGAGCCTACGCGTGTGAGGCGCACAATTGAAATTTTAAACTAGCATAAAATTATTCATATCTCATAAGTCATATCAATATTCTAAAAATTAATATCAAATATAAAAAAATAAATCCATCAACTAAACAAGCATCCAACAACTATGAAACAGAGCACAATTTTGTTTTCTTGAAAGTTAAAGCATGATTTATTTTTTTGATTGGCAAAACATAGCACAAAAAGAAATAAATGTATTAACAAAAATAAATGTTAACAAGAAAAGAAAAATAAAAGCAAAAAAAAAAAAAAGAAAAAAAAGACGCATAGACAGAAGAAATAGATGAAGAGAGACAAGTAGATAAGAAGAGAGAAAGTGTTACAAGAAAAAAGGAGAAAAAACAAAGCCCCCCAAAAAAAGACTGAGAGATAAGAGAACTAGATGAAGAGAGAGACGTAAACAAAGGTAAGAAGATATGAGTAGAGGAGAAGAGAGGAGAGAGAAGTAGAGGAGAACAGAGAGAAGAAGAAGAAAGAACTAGGGTGGTTTCGTTGTTCATCTCTGCAACTAGGGCTTCATCGTTCTTCTCATGGTCTTACTTTTTTTATATTCGGTTTACACTTTGACTCTTGGGCTTTCTTATTTGTTTATTCTTTTTCGAAAATTCTTATTTGTTTATTCTTTTGAACAAAAGTTTTTTCTTTTGTACGCCTAGGCTTTCTTATTTGTTTATTAAGTTGTCAAAAGTACCCTTTTTGGCTTAAGAAATAAAATAATCATAGTTTTTTAAAAAAATCAATGACAGGTCTAACAAACAGGATGAGGCGCAACCGAGGCGCGCCAAAAGTACCCTTTTTGGCTTAAGAAATAGAATAATCATAGTTTTTTTAAAAAAATTAGTGACGCGTCTGACAAACAGGACTAGGCGCGCGCCTAGTAAACATTAATGAGTCTAGGATGACAACAGGCACTAGAGCCTAGGTGCGCGTTTAACAACACTATTATATACTCGAATTCGAATCAAAATTCGATCCATCGACGAGTCTAAGAACATGTGTCTGTACTTATACATTATAATTAGTACTTTTATATGTTTTAAGAAGTCTAAAATTTTACAAGAATGTCCTAATTAAGTCTGCTTATCTTTGAGCCCCTTTATTTGTTTCATATGATCCTCTTTCTTTCCATTACCTATTGGTGCACCATAATTTTCCTTACAAGACCTTCACATGGAGAAGAAATAAAATGTTTTTGGATAAATAAAACATTAAATATGATAAAATGTAAACAATACCTAAAATGAATGGAGTCGCCCCCTAATATCGTGTTTTGGTGTGCTAGGTTACCTAATGTATGTATTTAAAATTCTAATGCAATAGCTTATATGATGATATTCATATGGTCTAACGAACTATATGTATGTATTCAGAGATTTGATTATACATGGGAAGGTGTTAGTGTTGGTCCACTGTGTGTTTAGTTTTCAGTTTGCCTCTTAATGTCAAAAAGTAGCTTGAGTAAGCTCATTTATATTATATGATCATTTTAAGTTCATTGTTCCCAGTGTTTGATTTAATACTGTATGCCTTATGGTTGTGCATTTGTCATATGAGTTTATGTTGATCCATACACATTACATTGTGCCTTCATCCGCTATTTTTGCTTATTGAACTATGTTTGGTATTTAGAAGTGTCATTAGTATCTATTTTGTAGCTTAGTTATTACATGTTTAAACTCCTCATATTTTATATATTCAAGTTATTGCTTATTTGAACAAGTCTACACTTAAGGCTGCACAAAAAATCGGTGGAATTAGAGAACCGAACCGAACTGAACCGGTGGTTCGGTTCCGATTCCACACTGTTTCAGTGCCGATACCGATTCCAAAATTTTGGAATCGTTGAATTTCGATTCGGTTCGGTTCTGGTTTCAGACCATTTGGGATTGAATCAAACCGGTTATATATTGTGTATATAATATGTATTATTTTTAAATATAGAATATAATGATAATATATATTATAATTACTTGAATCAAATATAGAGTGGTTTGATACATACTGAATTTTTAACTATTTCTACTGTAGAGTTATTTCAATGTTTACATTAAAAAAAAAAATTACCAGTGATCATTACTTCATTATTCTTATAAGAATGTTTATTAAAGTGACTTTGGCATACTAATTAACGAAATGAATGTGATCAGTAAGCATTTATGCATTGATTTAAATAACATATCAAAAGTATAATTTTTTTTTTTTTTTGGAAAAGTAAACAATTTATTTTTAAATTTTTTATAATGGGAACCTTAGAACCGAATCGAACCGGACCAGACCGGTCTTCTTGGTTCAGTTCCATGTCCCAACGGTTTTGATTCTAATTTTTTAGGAACCATTGGGAATGGTTCGGTTCCGGTTCCATCAAGAACCGTACCAAACCGGATCGTGTGCACCCCTATCTACACTAACTACTTTATCAAGAGCATTTTGGTAAATGTGCAGGTACAGGTTAATTTAGGAATTGACATGTGTTATTCAATGCTCCAGGATCCAAGGATGATTGTAACGACCCAAACTCGCAGGTCCGAACCCGAGAACACACAAGGGTAAAATGGTCATTTCAAGGAAAATAGGAGGGGTGAGTTGATTAAAAGTAGTAAAACAAGACTCTATAACACCACGTTAACCAAATAAGTTCATCCTATAATTTCCTAATAGCCATAGTTATAGTTTCCTGCATTTACCCACTATCGGTTTGAAGAATTCTCCGACACCTTTCCACTAAAATATCTAGAACTCTCGGTATGATTAGAATCTGGATATGATATAGGTACCATTGGAAAACTACGAAAAATTCTTCAAATTGGGCTCAAGAATGACCACATTTGGAACTAAAATGAATATATTATGGTTGATACAAGTTCTGGTTACAAAACTGGCTCTTGCATGAACAGGGGTTGCGACCAGTCACCCAAAACCCAACATTTTGCCCAACCATAAAAATTAAGCCTAAAA